CACGCCCCCTACTGCTCTTATTCCTCATTCTTAGAGTCTCAAAGCAGTTTTCTGACTCGCCTTAACTAAAAGACTTTTTTAATACAAATGAAAATTCTTACTTCTCTCTTGTGTTTCTGAATCATGCAGTAGAAATTTTTTTTTGTGTTGTTTATAGGTGTTTCAGTAGCTGTCTGTGTGTTCAGAGATGTCTAGATCCATTTTGGAACACAAAGACATGTGTACTTCAAAATTACTGCTGTCTTGGCTGAAATTAGATTCCAGCAGTTGCCTGTCTTGAAGGTTTTGGGTTGTGAGTCCATGCCTTAATAGTAACTAGTTGGGAGGTGAAACAGGTTAGCTTGCGTCAAGCACTGTACTGTTGCTGATGGATCTTGCTTAAAACAAAACTAGTTTGAGTGTCTTAGTCTTACGGTGTTTGGGTCTTTATTTAACCTTTTGGGTTGCTTGCTTATGTTTTCACCAAATTCTGTATGTCTGCTGTGAGGCAACTTGATTACTGCCCATGCGAGATGTTGAAGGCAGCTGGTCTTTTTTTGGTGTCCCTTAGTCAAGGGCCAAAGCAGGATTATTGGTTTTGGAAGAAGCAGCACATTTTGCTTTAAAGTATTTTGATATATGCAGCAGAGGAGTGACTGAATGAGTGTTTCTGCTCTTCTCTACAGCTAATGCAAAAGAAGAATAAGATGAAAAGTACTTTACTAGGCATTGCTGATAGGAATACCAGTATTTCTTGAAACTTACTTCTTTTGCCGTTGAAGTCTTTGCAACTTCTGAGCAGCTTTAACCACCTATTTGAGAGTGGATCTTTGAAATTCGTCAGGGCAGAAGCCTTAGGCTATAAATGTGCCTACTCCTTGTTCTGTGAAATTCCATTCAAGCTTTGCTGAGAAATACTACTTCTAGAAATCAGTTTTCCATTTCGTGGTTGTATTCCTCAGGAAAACTTTGGCTGTATGCTAAAGTAATTGAACACAAGTATTCTAAAGTTGGGCATATGTTGATGTCAAAGCAGTATTGGGAACAAGCACTGTACAGCACCACCCACACACTTGCTGTAATAAAGGACAGAGGGAAGAAATTGTAGTAGTTAAATGTACTAGAATGTTACCTTTATAAAGGTGAATTGTATAACTTTAAAGTTAAATTTAAAAGTTTGAGCTTTTGGGTTAGAAAACTCTCTTGATATTAAGGTTTGCTAGGAACTTGGTCCTATCTCATATATGTGTTAAGGTAGTGTTGTGTGTGGTGGTGGTGGGATTTTTTTTTTACCCTTAAAAATTTGGTCTTGTTTAGTGCTTGGGGTGCACAGATGAAGGTGTGGTGGGCAGTGTAGCTAAGCAGATCAGGTGACTTGCTGCCACTGATGAGGGGTGGGATCCTGCTACTCATTGCCTGCTGTCAGTGGTCTCCATGCTCTAGTTCTGTTTGACGATGCCGTGGACCAATTCTGTTCACTAATCTAGTAGCGAAGTGAATAGTTTTCTGCTGAGCCATTAAGTTAAGTCAATTTACTGTGCAATCAGATGAGCATCAGTCAGTACCAGGAATAGCGTAGGACTGTGTGCCAGGAGCAGTGGCAGAGGAGAATGGGGAGTTGGACTCTACCCATCTATGGCAATGAGCTCTTACATTGCTCAGCTGTATCATATGTCCACATTTGAAGGGCGAACAAATAATTATGAATTCAACATTTTTTCAGTCGTTCAGTATTCAATTTAATATTATGATATAACAATATTTTCTCTATGAAATAAGTTGTCCGAAGCATCTAAAAATAATTTTTCCTAAGTACGTCATTTGCTGCCAGTGTGAAAATGAAGTAGAGTTCTTGACAGAATTTGTCTTATGTATGCAGTAGCATAAGCTTGTGTGAATTTGAAAAAGGCTCAAAACAACCAAGCAGTTTTTGAAGTCATGCTATCTTTCAGTTTATGCTTGAAGTGGTTTTAGAGAGCTAAGTTTTACTCTTGTTGGTATGTAATATTTCTTGGCAGTCTTTAATGCTGTTAATGTTTTGGAAAAAAATCCCACTTGGAATCCCCTTTCTCTTCTGACTTCTGTGTTTTAAGGATTTTTTTCCTCTCCAGTGGCATTGGTAGCTCAGACCCTTGAAGGGATTCGTAGGATAGACACTCCCCATTTTGATTTTTCTCTCTCTCTTTCCAGTTGCCCGTAGCAGTTCAGGGGTCTGTGCTACTTCCCATTGTAGATCCTCTTGTGGTTTTTTTTTTGTTTGTTTGTTTTTGTTTGTTTTTGGTTTTTTGTTTTTTTTTTGTTACACAGCCTATTGTTCCTTCAGTGACTGTTGCTCTCTTGGTTTCCAGGTGGTTCAGAATTAAAAATGGCCTCAGGTCTACCCTTTTTGGTATATAGAGATCCAAAAAGTTTTGTAGAAGAGTTGTGTTCAGAGATGAGAGGCTGAACCAAATATTTATTTAGTTCCAAATCGTGTGCACCATTTTTGCAATTGCTCATGATTCAGAAAAGCCTGTACTGATGAACTTCAGTACTTGATAAATGGCATAACCCTTGTAGTCTGTGATCAAAAGTAAAAAAGAGTCTGTATTATGAAAATATTTGTATTTAAAACTGAACAGAAATTTTGTTTTCAAGCTGGAAGGAGGACTGTGTTGGATACCAGAAAAAGAATTATTTTTATCCTGTGGTTAAGAACTTTTTTTTTCCTTCTGAAGGTTTCATGGAGATGGTGTGAAAACAAACACAGAGAATGATGAATGTATTTCACTTTAAAAATGTTTTAGTGTAATCCCTCTTAAGAAGGCTTTGAGTACTTACGTAGGTGTATACCAACTTAAGTAAAACATTTTTACAACCTCTGACACTGGTTTGCATTTGGTCTATCTGGTTTTAACTGTGTATGTTACATTGGGTTCTTTTTTTTTTTTTTTTTTCCCCTGTCATTTCTGTCTTAGAAGCACCACTGCTTTTGAGACCTTTGCTTTTCTCTGTCGAGTGCTGTTTACTGATAACTAGAATAGAACAGAATAGACTGAGTTGGAAGGAACCTACAATGATGACCTAGTCCAAATGCCTCTTAAACACTCATGGGCTTGGGGCATTGACCACCTCTCTAGGCAGCCTGTTTTGTACTTTAGTAACTAGTTTTGTAACCTTTAAAAGTGGTCATGTTGTGTGGTGTTGGTTTTGGGTTGGTTTTTTCCTTTTTTTGCATAGCTGCATCTGTGAAATACATGAAGTAATGGATTAAAAAACAGCTACCACATTACAGGAGGATTCAAATGAAATTGATTGTTAGTCAGTAAAACTTCTCGGAAGATATAATCAAAGGCAGGGAATGGGACAGACTGAAAGGGGAAATAGGATAATCTTCCTTCTTGTACTGTAGAAACAGAAGTCAACAATTTTTGAGGTAGTTTAGTACAGATAAGAGATTCATGCCCATCTTTCATGTAAGTATTTTACGTTTCAACTAGTAATAATGGAATGTAGTTTAATAGCTGGATGTTCAGCAAGGATGTGTAGGCACTGATCTTCAGTCTTCTGGAGGTCGTCTTTGGTGATTATAGACATGCTAAAGTATGAGAAGGGGAATTTGGCTCTTGCCCATAGCAAATAGCTTCTTGCTTTAAACTTGGAAGTTGTTGTATTTGTTGCCAGTTACATTACTGCTGATTGTGTCCAAATGAAGATAAATTTCCATGCTTTCCCTGCCATGCATGAAGTCCCCGATCAGAGTGACTAGTCCCTACAAAAATCTGAGCTCCATTTGAGAACAAGTGAAGTGGGTTGACAGGTAACCCCTGTTTCCCCCACCTCACTTCACTGCAGCCTTCACTGCTATAATTCAATATTTTCTATATTCAAACTGATGTAATATCTGGAAATGTTTGACTTCTTGATGATAGCTGTCAGTATAGCAACCAACTGTCATGTTTAGAGTGAAAAAATTTTAAAGGGTTTGAAATACCTGTAAACTCTTGGATTTACAGAGTTGTAAATCTTGTGTATTCCTGCAGTCAGGAGGGAATAGATTGTCTATTCTCTATTTTCAGGTTTGGATTGAGATTTCTAAGCCTATAATATGGAACTTACCACTGTCACAAAACATTTCTTTGTTTCTTATTTCCCCACGAATGGAACTGGTGCCACAATACCCCAGAAAGTGAGCAGTAGGTGATTTTTGTCAGGTGATGACATTTCACTCAAGTAACCTGGCACCCTCAATGAGCTATTTTCAGGATTCCTCTAAGGTTGAGGTAGCTGTTTTTACCCGTGTTGCTGCTCTTTCTGGTCTTTCCATGCCCACTAGATTTAAAGACTCAGTTTTCAGTTGAGCTTGCATATTATATAAACTTGAAGCTGGTTTCCTTTTTGTGAGATTTTGGTTTTTGGTGGTGGTTTGCTTGGGGTTTTTTTGGTGTGAGTGATTGCTTTTGTTTTTGGTGGTTGTTTTTTATTTGTGTTTTGGGTTTTTTTGGTGTTTTTTTTTTTAACAAGTATGAGGTTGGTTTTTAGATGTGTCCACATGTATTTCAACAAAGTTTATTTAGTTCTGGAAGAATGACCATGTAAAGCCATCTGACAAGGTAGGTTCTGGCAGTGGCATCTTGTGAACAGCTTGCTGATGGTGGTTGATATTCATTGACCGTTTGTAAACCCCTTGTTTGGCAACGTTTGTTGACAGCTGTCATATGATGTTTCTGAACTTTCTGGTATGGTAATTGCTGATGACCAGTTGAAGGGTATGATTAAGGATTGTGACTCATCATGAAAGCAGCCTTGGGAAACTTGTTTTTCTGTGATTCTTCCCCCCTACCCCCCAGTCATAATGTGAATATGGCAGGTGTCTCTTCCTACTCATTTTCAGTAACATACACACTGCAACCCTTGGTATTGGTCTCTGGTCTTTGTATGCCACAGTGAGGGTTTTGGTAACTTTGAATTCTGATCTTTAAATACATATTTTGTATACCAAGATCCTTAAGAGATCTTTTCCCCCCCCCCGCTCTCAACAGGTGGGAAGGAGAAACCAAAAACCAATGCAGAAGAGCTACAGATTAAAAAAGTTAAGAAGAAAAAGAAAAAGAAACATAAAGAGAATGAGAAGAGGAAGCGTCCAAAAATGTACAGCAAATCTATTCAGACCATCTGCTCAGGATTGGTTTCTGATGTTGAGGATCAGGAAGCCAAAGGCATCACAGATGATCATCTTAAGGATTTCAATGGGAAAAATATGGATCCCAAGAAGGACTGTGAGTCCAAGATACCAGAGAACAGTGAGTTTCCATTTGTCTCGTTAAAGGAGCCACGGGTTCAAAATAAACTCAAAAGGTTGGACACATTGGAATTCAAACAGCTGATTCATATTGAGCACCAGCCTAATGGAGGTGCATCAGTTATCCATGCCTACAGTAATGAACTCTCCCACTTATCTCCTGTGGAGATGGAGAGATTTGCAGAAGAGTTTGTGGGTCTGGTTTTTAGTGAAAATGAAAACTGTGCAGCTTACTATGTAATGGGTATTGTTCATGGGGCAGCTACTTATTTACCTGACTTTTTAGACTACTTTTCGTTTAATTTTCCCAATTCACCAGTGAAAATGGAGATTTTGGGAAAGAAAGATATAGAGACAACGACTATGTCAAATTTTCATGCTCAGGTAAGAGGTTATACATTTTACTTTCTAAAGTCATATAATGGTTTCAAACAATTGTGAATGGGTTTTTTAGAATACAGTTACTATTAGCTGTGCTGTGTGGATGATGCAGAAGACTAGAAACAAGTGCATTCTTTAATGTTAATTCTGAATGTTAAAGATAAGGAGCCTATTAACTGAGACACAGTGGGATTTTATGGGAGAGGGGAAGTGTTTGCATGCATGTGTGTGTAGATTCCTCTGGATTTGCTTTTGTAGACGAAGCTTAACTGAGTTTTGGAGGGCTAAACAGATTTAGCTGCGGCTATCTGGGTTTCTGAACTGTAGTTTATCTGTATGAACTTCATCATAAAACTGAAATGCTTTAATATGTTTGAACAATGTTACATGTAAAACCTGTGTAGCGCGCAGTTAATTAGTTGCATTTGTAGTCTGAGGCTTCTAAATCCATACTTAAAGGAGAACTTAATGGCGGTTAATGTAGCTACTAATTTGATCCTTATCCCTTTGCATTTTCCCCCAGCTAGTTGTATTCTCTTGAAAGCTGTTATGTGGCAAAATGCTAGGAAGCTTTTGAATCTCTATTTTGTTTTCTAGAGAGAAATGACTGTATGTTCTCTTAACAACAGCTACTGATTAAACATCACCTTTGTTATTTATTAACTTGCTGTAGAAGATACATTACTGTTGCATCTAAATTATTTATATTTCAGGTCTCCTAGGCTCAGGGGGGGGAGAAAAATTCTAGCTTTTTTAGATTACCAGCTTGGTGATGAAGGTATTATGTAAAGCCCATACAGATATTCTGAAACAATTTATAAAGAAACTCAATCCTGGTTTTCGTGGTACCATGTTTAGCTCACAAAGCGTAACTCCCTATTTCTGAATTTAGATTTGTATGAAGCACCTTTGAACTATTTTAGTCTTCACTTTTTTGACAATTATGAAGACTTCAAGTGTAAGTTATAATTTTTTTATGAAAAACAACACTTTTTTTTTTTTCCTTCAGCTACATAAACATTTGCGTGGAACAGTATTGCATTTATTGACAAATTTCAGGTGTCTGTTGTCCACAAGGATATACAGAATTGAAATGTTGCTGCAAGAGAACATTTGCAGTGCTGGTTAAGAAAACATCCACTGCCATGGAATATGAATATTCTGTGAAATATATTAGCATTTTCCCCACCCAAGTATGTAAACGGAATCATTACTTTACTATTAAAAAATCACAGAACATATTATGGGCAGCTACCCAAAGCTGCTCTGTCTTAGGTAATTTTATATAAAAAAAGCTGGATCTGTCCTTATAAGTATGTTCTTTAAGCCCAACCTGTTGTCTTGCCATGCCTGTCTGTATTGCTGTGTGCTAGTATCTGACCTAAAGAAATAATTAAGAAAAGCCCAAATTTTATTTTTGTGTATTATAATGGAATTATTTTACTGGAAGGATGGATTAACTTGTTATTACAGTGGTATCATCAATATCTGTAATTAAGTCAATCCTGTGGTCATTGGGGTTGAGATCATACTTTGCCATTTTTCTGTATGTGAAGGAAGAACAGAGGGAGAATGTAGTTGATGAAAGAAGCCAAACTCTATCATTATAGCATTCAACGGGTCAACTTCATAGTCTGTCTTCTAACCTATATTTTACTTGGCTGGAGGTTTAGTTCTGGTATCTTCTTTCCCTTTGTTTTCTCTCAGTTTTTCAGTTAGTTTTTGTAGCATTTTATCACTTGTCAGTTTGGTTGCTTGACAGAAAAGGCTTGGCTCCTTGGATTTTTGTTAACATAAAGGACACAGTGTGTGTATAAATGTATACAGGCGTACACCAGACTTACTCATATCATCTTCTGCACAGCATCACTGTTTCCTGGAATATTTAAGTCAATCTTGGTTGCCTAACTATTGATTCTATTTTTCCTTATTTCATTATTTTTTGTATTATTCTGGCTGCTTATTTTGTCTTACTCAGGTGATCTGCTACAGTTGAAAGGTTTTGTTAGCTTAGTAACAAATAATACAAACAAATAACTAGCCCCTCTCTGACAGGGGCCAGTATCAAAGATGTCTAGGAAGGAGTATGAGAGTCTAGTAGTCAATAGTGATACTGTGTCAGAGTGCTCATCCTCCAGGGATGTCACAGGACCTTTTTGAATCAGAGTTGTGAATTTTGTGGTTTTAATCTTCAGATGTATTTTTGGGTGTGTGTGTATTTTCGATTCATTAGTTTGTTACCTCTGTTTTTCAGTTTTCTGCCTTACCTTCCTTTATAAAAGGTACTAAATGATTGCATAACTTGTTACGTTTTGTGCAGATTGATGATACTGTCCTGTTTCATTGAGTTTTTTGTGCATCTTTTGGAGGGATTCTAATGCAATAGAATATGTTGCAGTATATTTCAGTGAAACTTTAAATGTAGCTTTCTGTTCCTACATTGCAAAAGCTCTGTGCTGCTGTGTTCCCTCTTGCCCTGAGCTGCATGAGCAATGTCTAGCAGTTGTTGTATGGTCTCAGTTGACAGGTGAGTCTTTTTCTGATGTCTAAGTAGCAACTTAATTTTATCAAGTCTGCTTTAAGTATATATCTCTACCTTCTTTAGCCTTAAGAAACTTGTGTATTGCTTTGCTGATTTTAACTAAAACACTGAAATAGGGCTTACTGTAGTACATGAGGTTCTTTGGTTGTTTTTGAGAACTCATTATAGCACATGTAATCAGGCTGAGAAATGTTAAGTATTTAAAAGTTCTAAAAAAGTGTAAAAAACGTAATAAAAAGGAGGGATGAGTTAAGCCTGAAGTGGAAGGTATTACAGAGGATTTAATCAGTTTTTATTTCTCAAGTTGATTCTTTCAGTACTGCTCAATAATCTTCCATCTTGTGTTTTGCAGCAGATGAGGTTTTTAGTTTTAAGTAATGCATATTTTCAAGTCATTGAGTTCTGTGGCAAGAGGCAGATTCCGCAGTAAACTCTGGCAAGATCAAAGCTGTTGAAGTCCTCCTAAGTATACCTGGAGCGTCTGCATCTCTCAAGTAATTTACTTAGAGCTGAAAATGGAACTCAGCTTCCCAATATACCTGTGTCGGGCAGAAGTAACAGTTTCACTTGTTAGGAGATTAGAAGTGGGCAGAAGGTTGTGAGACTAGTTACAAGCAGGCACAGTAGAGGAGTTTTGTGTTGGAACTGGTTCTGTCTCATCAGAATTAGCTTTTAAATTTGGAGGGAGAGGAATTGGGGAGTTTTTCATTACCTGTGTTTAAATACTCCTTAATTCTTAAATTTTTTTAGGTTAGTGGAACAGCTCTGTTTCTGTGAACTGTCTGTAGGGCTTAGTCAGACTGTTTCTATAATTGGGCAAAATGAAATTAGTCTGGGTATCCTTGTAGCCAGTAAGTCACTCTTTCAGGTGGTGGAAAACTGTCTGCTGTAGGCACATCCCTGGGTTCTATCACTTGTGTAAATGGGAACAGCTGCATCAGTTACCTGATAGCTATGAATCTTACTTGTCAGGCTCTCATGAGGATTTCAAAGAACATAAATAATCAGCTTTTGCCACCTACTTGCAGCTTACATCAGTTAAGCTATTCAGTGCTATTGAGGCAAATGCCTCTAATGTTTTGAACCCATTACTGTGTCCTCGTGCTGGGCAGGTGTAAATTTTTTATTGCCTTGCTGAAACCCCAAAGTGCACAGTTCATGTTTAACCATAGCAGTGCTTAGTGGATTGATTTTTACTGTGCTTCAGTCTTGTCTCAGAGGCAACTTCTTAGTGTAGGTGAAGTAAAATGCTGAGCAATACCTAGCATTTCCTTGAAGACAAGACTGACTCTTTTTAAGCCATATCTGACAACTGCTTGTCTGATGTGCTTGTAGATCTCTAGGTGATTCCACACTTCCCAAAGAAATCTGTTGAAAAATCTTTTTTTCTTTTTTGTCCTCTTACCTTAATTCTCCTGCCAGTCCTTTTATTCTGATCTTTAGTGGACAAGGCAAATGGCTTACGCTTTTCTTTCAGCGTTTTCTGTATTTGAAGATTGCTTAACAGCTCCTTTTTTTTCTCCCCTCCCTAGGTTAAGCAATTTAAGTTATTTCAGTCTACCATTACCATGTCGACTGCTCTCCCCTTTTGCTCTCTTTAGTCATCCTTATTTTTTGTAAAATACAGTACTGAAAATGGACAGTGTCTGCCGGGTGCATTGTTGTCAAGGAGTATGAGAAGATTGCTTCAAGTATCTTGCAAATTATTGCTCTTTGTTACCTATTCATGCCTTTTTCAGAGCAGTTTTTGATCTGCTGTAGCAGCAGTTCGGGCTAAATCACTCCCCTTTTCATGTTTATGCAGTTAATTATATACTATCTTAGTGTAGTTTTTTGCTTTTATTTCAATTGAATTATATCCTGTGTGTTCAGATCCCTTCTCCAGTTTATCAAAGATCTTGTTAGTTTTGATCCTTTCCTGTAGTAGGCTTTCAGCTTTGTGTTATCTGCAGGTTTCATAAGCATACATTGTGCTCAAAGGAAAGATCCTTACTGTGTGCCACAAAATTGGTCTTTTCATATTGATAGTTATGTGAACACAAATTAAAACTGCCCACTGTTTGCTGTTACTAGACCATGTTTCTGTAGCAGTTTTGAGAACATGATGCAAATGTCAAGGTGTGTACCACTCCTCTAAAAAAGCCTATCCTGTTATGGAAAGAGAAGTTAGTTTGACTTGATTGGGTTTTTTGACATGTCTGTATTTAATAGCTTTTACCATCGTATTTTCTAGGTGGTTAAGACAGAAGTATCTAGCTAACTGTTTTTTTTCTGGAAATTGAAACTAGTCTAAATGATCTCATGATGAGTCATACGTTGCTCTTTTTGGTTACATATTCTTCATTAACAAAAACCAAACCTGAATAAAACCCTAGAGGTTTGTACTGGCAGCGTGGACAGCATCCGAGACTGAACCTTCTCATAGATCTTCCTGAGTTACAAGAGCATAATAGCTACCCTG